AAGCTCCAGGGGAGACCTGATAGGGGCCTATCAGTATCTACAGAAGGGGCTGTAAGATAGAAGGGAACAGACTCTTTGGCAGGGTCTATGGTGATAGGACAAGGGGAAATGGTTTCAAACTGAAAGAGGGGAGAATTTAGACTGAATATAAGGAAGAGATTTCACAATAAGGGTAGTGAAGCACTGGTACAGGTTGCCCAGAGATGTGGTGGGTGCCCCATCCCTGGAGACACTAAAAGTCAGGCTGGACGGGGCTCTGAGCAACCAGATGTAGCTGTAGGTGTCCCTGTTCACTGCAGTTGGAGTCAGACTGGGTGATCCTTAAGTGTACCTTCCAGCTCAAATGAAACTATGATTCTATGATAAAAGCTAGATTTTAAATACTGGAGTAACGACATGGGAACTGCTGAATCATGGCCTGAACCTCTGATTGATCACCTGAGGCAAGCAATGAGTCAGCCATGGGAGCACAGGTGAAGGCAATTCTTCTGGAGATCCCTCCTTTAGAGTTTTACAGCAAGCCAAGCATAAGGGTAAGCACTCTATCTACTCCGTTTTTGGTATAATAACCTGCTTAGCCAAACTCTCGTTTATTTCATGATTATGACATTTGTATATTCATTGACTATATATCAGTCTATCAATCAGGCCTTTATTTCATGTAATAAATATTTAGCCACTGACAACTATCATCTGTAAGATTAGAATGGTGCTTAACAATCCTTGTACTGGAGGAAACTTTAACTCTTGGAAACTATTTTTTCAGTTATAAATAAACTTTCTTGGTATAGAGGACAAAATCTATTTCCTAAGAATAGTGATAAGGCCTGAAATGTCTCACAGAGAATTGGAGAAAAAGTGATTTGAATGTATTTAAAATTTGGAGTAGGAAATATGTTCTGCTTTATTCTTTTCAATGGAAAAGAAGAAGAGCACTTTGAATTCCACAAATGCCCAAATATTAATTTGGGATACTGGTTGAAGCATCTATTTTCTTTAGGTACTAACACTTAACCTCTTATTTTAAAGAAAAAAAAAAAAAAGTGATCTTGTTCTTTCCTATAACTTCTCATGTCATACTTTTAAGAGAGTGAATCCATTCTGAACTCAATAGAATCTGGTCTCTTCCTTCTGTAGTATAAATCCTGGAGAGATTATGACTAATGTAAGCAGAATCTCATGCTGGTTTTTTTTTTCTACCTACCTGCAAACTGCTAAGGAATCAGCAAGGGAAAAATAAGTGCTATTCACGGTAGTTTCCAGCTTGGATTACATGTATCTTGAAAGCACTAGCAGCAGATGCTTGTGGAAGTGTTTTTGTACTCAGTCATATGTATGTCCTCCTGGCTGTCATCACCACTTATGTGTGTTTCTAGTATAGGAAGAAAACCCTGGCAGTTTACAGAGGGAGGGGGGGGAAAAAAAAAAAAATGTAATCCCAGAGTTTTCAAGGAGCTCAGCAATTACTGCTGCTTAGGGGGCCTGGCTGGCAGGCTATTTATCAAATTTGAAAGAGCCCCATAAGATTATGGATCGTAACCTTCCTGGGGATTTAACCATTTTGTCACTTACAAACATGTAACACTTTTATTGAGAAAAGCACTCCTACAGGTGGATTTCATCTTTCATCTCTTCTGGGCTTCTGAGAGCATTTGCCAGGATTGCTGAGCTGATTGCACAACTCCACTGATAGTGATTATGGTTTTTCTTACAGTTGCTTGTCCAGATACGGAAACTGATACTAGAAGCATCAGATTTTGATGTCACGGTCTTGTACTCATTACAAGCTGAAATTCATCACCTTCCAACCCAACTGCATACCACAATGTGATCTGCCAAAAGGTAGGTAGCATGGTCTGTGGCTTCAATTCTTTTTCTTAAAATTACAAAAGAAATTAAAAGAGCATTTTGTGTCCACACTTTTTCACCACAGAAAAAATACATATCAGTGCAGAGTCCCTAACTACTTCTACATCCTGATCCCATTTTTTACCACTTGGAAGCATTTTGTTCAGTTCATGTTTCTAGTTGAAAGGAAATAAAGCCTTCTTTCCTTCTTCCCCTGTCCCGAACAAGTGGTTTAGCACCTACTGCTGCCTTAAGCAATACATCTGAATGCTTTAGTGAAAGGGGTCCAGCAGACTCCCACTAGGCTTTAGGTAGGCTCTGTGTAGGAAAAACTGTGGCTACAGTAATGACCTGCTGTTCTGGGTTAGTCACCATTATGTCAACCCCAGAAGCGCAGAGGACAACAGGAAAATCCTTTGGGCCATGTTTTGCTTTGTTTCATATCACCGTAGTGCATGACTGTGGCTTGCAGATCTTTTTGAAAAGGATGCTATATCAGAAGGACAAAAATCTGCATTGAGGAAAAAGTTTTGCATGAAAATGTTGAGGAAAAGGGCCAAAATTATTTTTCCTAAAGATTATGAAATAAGCTTCAACTGAATTAGCTCTTGTAAACTGTGGGAACAGATAAGTGTATTTATATTATTGCAGAGTTGAAACACCTGCTGTTAACCAGGATGCAAAGAAGGAATAAACAATGACTTAATGTCATTCCTCTTTCACAGGGAGCCATAAATATTGGTAGAAAGTTGCTGAGTAAGGCATGAGTACAGCAAGAGGTAGAAATAAATCAAGAGGTAGTGCCACTTTTATAGGGAGAAAAGGATTCAGGAACCGACTGACCAGGCACAGAGATGGGGCTGAGATCAACTTAAAGGGAACAGAATTGTTGGATTAAGTGTCCATTTCCAGTACAGTCAAATGCTATTAGTGAACCTATATAAAAGGAATCATTTTTTATCTGGAGGAGTAGCAGCTCTGGAGATAACTGAAAGTGAGAAACTAAGCAGAAACCACCACAGCCCACGTTAACATCATAACCAGGATGCAGAGATGGAAAGGGAAAACAGCCAGGGCCCAACAGCAGGCAGGACATTCAGCAGCACCCACCTGACCCAGCCAAACCCTTGAGCCAGCTGGTTATGTTTTCACATCGGTGGTAAGGCAAAAGGAAAGCAGCTTTGTCAGAAAGGAGCACCTTCTGACCAATGGTTTACCGGGTTCGATTAACTTTGCAAGGTGCACAAGGTGCTGGAGAATCAGACTCTTAGATTATCCCTGTCTGCATTCATTGCTGAAGTTGTACCAAAGCCAGCCAGAGGGGCTGTGTAAGTGAATCTCACTCTCACAGCCCAGCCATGTACACGTAATCCTACTGTGTTCTATTGAGGGGTTTCTAAGGCACTGTTTGTGAGGACTGCTCTCAGTATCATGAAAGGAAGGAATGAAACTTAATGACCTGAGAAAGTGCATGGTGTGGGGGAAGGAGGTCCCTGTCAGGTAATGGTGCCTGAAACTAAGTCCCAAAGAGTTTGGAGAAAGCTGTCAAAGGCAGTTTCCCTTCCTAAATTCAGCTAAGGAGAAGGATCCTCTGAAAAAGTGACATTCCACCAGCGTTTTACTGCTACATTACATTTTACTATGGGTTTTAGTTTTTTGTTTCACTTACCCTTGTGACTAAGTGTCTGTTCCCTTGTGAAGGAGTTGCAAGAGCACAAAGGTAATCTAGCAATAACAGAATCACTGTACCTAGGGATAAAGGCACCCAATCCGTGTTAAGGCAGGATCATTGATAAAACCACACTCGCATCATTCCTGACTAACACTCACTCTGGCCTACAGTTAGAAATTGCTAGTTATGAAGATTAAAATTTTCCCAAATGATCTGTTCCACAGGTCCACTGTTTCTTACTTTTAGAGAGTCTCTAACATCTTATTTATTAGCTTAAGCTCATTTCTTGGCATATCCACCAAGAAAATTTGGGCAGAACAGTTCACTCCCACTCTTCTTATCATCCTCTTTCTTTTTCTGAAGAGTTACCATGCCCCTCTTCAGTCCCTTCTTCCACCGACTTCCCCCAATTTACTCAAACTTACCTCATACTCCAAGTCTTCACAAAGTGAAATGTACTTTTTTCCAATTTCCTATTCATCTTCTCTCTACATTAGATGCATCATGTGTTCCCAACCCTTTCACACCATTCTTTCCTTCAGTATTTTCTCCTCTATCATCTTCATTGTTTTGTGCTGGGCCTTGCTCTGGAGTTTGTGTGCCTTGTTTTGTTCTGCTTTCCTGCTTTTGTAAAGGATGACCTTATGATACTGTCTCCCAGGCTAGAGGAGAAGCACAGACTGAACACAGCTCATTAAAATAGGATCTCTGGAGTCCTAGTTCTGGATGAGTAGCACACTGCCTTCAGAACAGCCCCAGGCAAGACAGCTGACCTTGTCCTATATACTCTATAGGCTTTTCAGTACTTGAATGATTTTTTAAAATTACAGTTTATCAGAAGAAATAGTGGTGTTTGTTAGTTTTTAACTAATACCAGTTTGAAAATTTGAGCTACTTTTGGGTAGGTGTCAAGGTCTACTAAGCAGGTCTCGTTGTTCTGGTCATGGGCCATCACTTTGGAAACATAAGTGCAAGGGACCACTGCTGACCAGAAATAGAGAGGTTTGTGTAAAATTAGTGCTTTCACACTTCAGGAATGTGATAAGGCTGAGGGATATACAGATAAAAAAGATTAAGTGTTATGTGTCTCACATCCACAAAGCAGTTACTGTCAGTCTTAAGACTGAGGGACTGCTGTGAGCTGAGGGCCATCACAGGCTGTTGGTTTATTTTTGTTTGTGGGGTTTGTGAGGTCTTCATGCCACAAGCAACTCACAGATCTATTACCTAGTTCTGATACTAAATGCATACAATTTTTTTCGGAACCTGTTTGTCAGATTCTCCAGCCCCTGCTACAGAGTTGGAAAGGGATGGTTAATGATTTTAAAGAAATCTAGGAGCCTTCATTTCTGTAACTGTTTGCAATATCAGGAATTCTTCTGAAAATTTCCTTTTGTTTATAAAATTAATATTTAGTAAGAAACATCGATGTCTTGATATTGTTCAGTGCAAAGGACAGATTGTTGGCATTCCTGGGCAATTCTGCTATCTGGCAAAGTAGTGCTTCTTACCAAGTGCTCTGATGTTCAAGTGCCTGAGGGCTTGCTCACAAAGGAAGAGTCAGTGTCACTTTCTTCACTGCAGAATATAAGTGTCCAGATTGGGTACAGTCATTTTGCTCTAGTAAAACCCTAAGTAACTTCACATAATTTTTCCACAGAAAGTTAGCTATGGCACAAGTAATATAATACACCATTTGGAAACATCAGAATGGAGTGCTTTGTACATAAGCAGCTCTCCATGTGACAATGTTTCCCTGTTTGAGCTTGGTTTTTTATACTGAAGACTCAGTCTTTACTTCTAAAACCCTTATTCTACAATGAGAGAAAAACAAACATCTTGCATGTATTTATCCACATCCATCCCACCACCTTGTTAATGATTGATATTAGTTGTTCTGCACTTCCAGTTTTTGACTTCAAAGCACCATCTCATCCCTACAGAAATGCCTAATAACTTGGAGTGTGTACTCAGATGCTATCTGAGCAGGAATGCAAATGATGTGCTGAACATCGATGGAGAATACAGGAAAATAAAGAAGGAAATCAGGTAATGTAAAACAATTTCATATTTCAAGAGATATTAACAGGACATGCTGCACCTGCAGTCATGAATTTCATTTGCATAGCTGGAAAACTATGTGCTATGAATGTAATACAGTGGGTAGGAGGGATGGAGGAGAGACAGAAAACACAGGCTGCCTCACATACAGTATCTGTTAGCAGTGGTTGTGATGTGGCCTTTGCAGTTCTGCCTTCTGTATCTACTCCACCCTTTGCAGTTCTTGTTGGCTGACCCGAAGCAGATGGTATAATTCAATGAGAGATTTCGGAGTTCTCTGGTGCACAGTAGCATCCACATGTCCCAGCTCTGCACACTCCTGCACAGCCTTCTGCAACTGTGGCTGCAGTGGGAAGGAAACCAATGGTCCTCTGAGAGTTGGAGAAAACCAGCGACGGAATATTTTGTCACAAATGACCTGAGGAAAGAAAGAAGAGCAGATTGCTGTCTTGCAGGAGCTGTAACTAATGCCCTGTTGCTTCCCTGGGACTGTAGCCAAATGTCTCTATTCTTGTATCAGCTGAACCCATAATGTGTCTAGCCATTCAAAGGGGAGGATAAAGGAAAGGAACTTGTATAGAGGCTATCCTCTAGCTGAGGCATCCCCTTGTGCATAAGAAATGGTGAGGGTAGGAAAGGGAGAAACAGGCAAAGCACAGCCAAGCTGTGCTCCCCCAGCCTCTGTGCTTGAATTAGTATGTTGCAGCAGCACAAGTTGAGTGAATTACAAGACAGCTCATACCAGGGCCACTCGCCCTATGGACCCCCCTCTCTCCACTTCATCTGCATACTCCATTTTGTAGAGCAGAGAATCACAGCCATAGCCTTCCACTGCTTACACTGGACTTCACTATTAGTGGAGACAGTAATGATGAATTCCCCACTCTTCCTAATTCCTATCTGAGGAACTGGGCAAGCAGCAGCTATGTGGAAAGACAACAAATAAATGGTCTGCTTGCATGCCCCAGGATGTGATTTCTGAATGGGATTGGCACCTAATGTCTGTTTAAAAATGTGTCTACATGCACTGCACAGCATTCTAGTACATATACCATACATTTTATAATCAATATGATTTTAAAAGAAAGGCAAGCATAAAGCAGCTGTTTCTACTCACTTGCAAGTTGTTATTGGCTCTCTGTGCTGCACATCTTCTGATTTTCAGATTGCATTTTGAAAAGCAATCAAAAAAGTTACAATCTTCATCTCCTGTGCAGTTCTGCTCAAGGATGTCCCTCATTTTGGGTTCAAAAAAAGCCATATCCACATCGATGGCCACCACCTGTGGATCAAAACAAGCCATTAAAACAGGCAGAACACAGGCTGTGGGTAGGACTGAGCAAGCATTCTTTTGCTGCTTTCTCTGGGAAATGCTGTGCAGAGCGCACGGCAGAGAAGTGGGTTCTCAATGAAAGAGCTTTCTTTCGCTTAACTGAGCAGCAGTAGTCTTATGAATACCACATTTTAAACAAAAACAGCCAATGCTCAAGACAGCAGGAAAGAGAAAATTATCTGTGGACAGTATGCGTCCCTGGGGTCAGCTGGATTGATTTGCCTTAAACCAGAACTATCCAACTTGAAGACTGATTTACTTGTTTTTTGCAATTTATGCAGATGGCAGCTCAACCTTTTAATTATATGATGTCACAAGTCTACCCACAGGCCAGATGGTATCATTTTGCAATTTGCCTTTCCAGACTAAGCCTGTGACTTTACCATTGCAGAGAGGAGCACTATGATGCACAGAAGTACCCACAAGTGGCATGGCTTCTCCAGACCTCCCATTGCATTTGGTGGGTTTGTACCGCTTTATACCTGTTCAGCTGTAGAAACAGATACCTGCAGTTGCTTAAAGCTGGGGAAATTGGGACTGTTAGTTACAACTTTAGTCATTTATTGTGCTGCTGCTGGGATAGATTTGAAACCATTCCGGGACTGAGTGGCTGGAGTCTCAATTTCTGTCAGTATCACTCCACGCACGGATACTTCACTTCAAAAGACAGAAATCAGCAAGGGAAGGAGGGGAAACAATTAGGTGATGGCAGCTGCCTGACTGTAGACTGACTGTGGGTGAACACAGTGAAAGCAGTCTCCCTATGGTGCTATGAACGCAGCCATCAGCATAACTTCAAAGCCATGCTTAGCACTTAGCACTTGGAACCTTCACTCAGAGAGGGTTGTAGGGGTTGAAATAATTTTGCAGGTAGGGAAACATCTGGGACTTGGGCAAAGCAGAATTACATGGGCACAAAGGATAATCTCATTTTTAAGATTCATCCTCCTAAGTAACATGTGATTGCTGGAGCACCAGCTGGATCATCTCCAGGAACTAAAGATATCTGTCCTGGTAGAGGGCCAAGCAAACCTTGCACAGGCAAAAGAGCAAGGTCTAATCTTCATGTTATGCTTTTATTTATTTATTTATTTATTTTCCTTTTTCTTTCCCCAGGGAAAATCTTAATGTGATGAGGCATAGCTTAAAAACTCGAGTATTTTTAAGCTTTTTGGAGAGCTTGATAGTCATGATGTAGCCTAGGGAGATTCACGTTTCAACAGGCTGGTTGTTTTTTATCTTCCTAAGCTTTTTGCACTTCTGATGTTCACTTCTTCGGAGTTTCTTGTATGTGGCCAAGATGCATTTCGTGCAAGAACAGGGCAAAAGGGCACCAAAAGTTGTGCAGAATTTCCCCAGTCTTTTGGTCCTGTACGAACTTCCTTGTGGCTCTCTGCCAACTGTGCATCTTTGACAATCTTGTCATTTGTCATTTCTGCTAGGAAAAAGAGCCATCAGGATGACTTACCAAGGCAGTGATCTCTATCCTCCTGTACTGCAGGAACAGCACACAAAGTCTGGAATGAGGACTGGAGAGCTCTCCCCAACATTTGAAAATAATTCTCAAAGCTATTGCATGCCAGGCATTTCTTTGAGCATTAGCAGTCTCATTACTGAGATAAGTAATAATAGTACTATTATGGAATTTTATTATTATCCTATACAGAGTACAGAAGCAAGCAAGTAAAAAATTGCTTCAAACAGACAGGAAGGACTAAAGAGAAGCTGCCTTTTTTGTGTCCCAATTCTGGCAATTGACAACACAGCCCAGAATTTCTACTTCTCATTCTCCTCTCACAGTCACTCAGCAGAAGCTATCTCTGTTTTCCTTCTCAGCTTCCTGGCTGTATGTATCTCTTGCCTCAGCCAAGTGGGGTGTAAGTAATGTGCAACGGGGAGAACCGTGTGTGAGCAACAGCTTACTTTGTTGTTTCTGTTGCTGTTGTAATTTATCCTCCTAGAAAATGCTACCTGAGAATGCTTTACTGTATCAGAAGGTGATTGCTGTCTCTTCTGACCCTAGAACTCATGGTAGAATCCTGGAGAACTGAGCTTCACCAGAAGGACTTGTAATGGAAATCACATCAAATATTCTCTCCCTTCTTCTAATTGAAATCTCATTTTCTCTTAACAGGTAGTAAAACAGATGCTCTAGCGTGTGTTCACATGCAGCTACATCCTGGCATAACTGAAAAAGATAGGTAAAGCCTGCTTTGAAGAACTTCTGTCCTATTCCATTCTGCTTAAGTATTGGCATGCTTTTCTCAGTTTCTTGCCATAGTTACCCACCCATTCCCTGTTCAGCTGCTGTACTGCACCTGAATAAACAATGTAAGCGAAGGGAAGGTGAAGGGGAATCACTCTAATTGCTCTTAATGACTATAAGTTTAGGTTATGTTTCTCAAGTGCTCTGAAGACTTGAGTGTTTGTGAGTTCTGATAACAACCTACAAGTTCCTGAGAACCCTGTATATTCACTCAAAGTGCAGAAACTCCATCAATGTCACCACAAATTGCAAGTCTGGTTCAAACACTACACAGGGGCTCCAATCCATACATGCAGTTCCCACTGAAATCAGCAGAATTCCCATCTGCAGAATGAATGCAAGATATTTTCAACAACATGATGGTGTGCTATATCACCACTTAGAAAAATGTACAGCTATTCACCTTTGAGTTATAGTCGTATAATAAAAAACCAAACAGTAACAGTACCAAGGGTTTTCATGTCACCATCCTGGAATCATTTCCATATTGGATAGGCTGAAGACTAAAGCAGAAAGATGCATATGTTTGTATGCAGGGAGTTCCCTTGTGTCAGACCAGAAGATTCAGCCTTAGTGTTCCTTTCAGCATCGCTACCAGAGATAATTACCATGACTCAAGTTACAGCTTCATTAAAAGCTTCCCAGATCTCCAGGAGGCATCCATCATCACATCCAAAGGATACGACCCTGTCAGTGTCAATATGTTTGAGCAGGTGAAACAAATCAGAACTGAATAAATAGTCCTGAAAACAATCAGCAGGATCTAGTGCTCTGAAGTAGCTGCACGAATTACAAAGAGGAAAAGCAGTGAAGAAGTTCCCATGTCACTTTTAAATGTTTGTTTTGCAAAAACTTGGCGGGAAAATGCATGAGAAGGGAACTGTCATTTTTTACGCTGCCACTTTCAGATTAAAATTTAACCTCAAATATCCACAACTCAGCCCCAAAGCCCCAGCTTACCGTAAGATCATGCCTGATAGCAAAGTTTTCTGGCTTGATGTCACACAGGTGTAGGCGATGAGAGAAATCATTATCAAAATGTTGCACCATATCCAGAAAGCTGAGTGCAATGTCAATGATGGCTCTCACTCTGCTTTTGCGGCCAGCAAGGGAGGGACCTGCTATGTTTTCCAAGGGAAAAAGAGTTTTGTGCCAGGCATGTCCAGCTGTAAGATACTCCACGGCATAGAAATGTCCACAAGAGCCAATAATTCGTAGCACATGTTTGCTGAAGTCCTGCAGCAAACTGAAGAAAATATATTCTTCCTGCTGGATCAAGGACCACATGCTGGCCACCTGCGCTTTCCAATGTGGTCCCTTCCTCCTTGTCCACAGGGGCCCTGTGCTATTGTTAGACAGTTCTAGCCCCAGAACATTTTTTACCTCCAAGGCTACCATCAGCAGAATCTCTGTTTCAGGAATATCCTGTGTTTCCACCTCGTCCAGCATACTGAGATGCTGGTAGCTGGAGAAGATTTCCTTTTTGGATTTCAGGATGATGGGCTGGCCTCTCCAATCAGCCTGGATGACCTTCTTACCTCTGTCATAGTAAAGGCAGTGTTTGTACACCAGCTTCTGCGCCACACACAGGTCTTCGCAGAGGTCGCCAGTCAGGGCTCCACTGCTGTAGTCAAGGCACTGGATTGAAAAAGAAGGAATATTCATATTCATAATCCTATGGACCACTTAGGAGAACATCAGAAAATCAGTGAAGGTTCTAAGGCTCTAAGCTCGAGCAGACCATAGTAGTTGTGAAGCACGATCCTTCTACATCTGTTGGGTGATTCGTTGGCTTTTCAGAAGGCTCTAGAGACTTCTGTTACTGTGGGGAGTCTTACATCAAAACAGAGACTTGGGGAGTGGTAAAAGGGCAGGCTTTTTTTTCAGGTTACTTCTTAAGTTTTCACCACATGGGAGTTCAGTGGGACAAACTTTCAACATATTTAGGTGTGTTACATGAGATTCTGGGTCGTAAAAATTTAAGATATAATAGATGACTTCCAGTGTAACTCAGGACTCCTCTGGAAGGCTCAGCACAGTGTAACGTAGACATCTCCACTTAAGCCATACAGGGGGCTTGGCTGGGTTGCTGGGACCCTCAGCAGTGTCACCTCTGCATTCAATGTGCCCTGAATGAAGCGTTAAGAACCTCCTTCTGCACTGCTTCAAAACAAAGAGGTTGCACTCCAAACCTCTTTTTAAATATGTACATGTTGTTGAACAAAATGACTTGCCCAGTTTTCGTATGTACTTATCACCGTCCCTGTGATATTTTTATATGAACTGCATAGCTACTTTCTTAAAAATTAGAGGAAAGCAGTCCACTGTAACCTGGGAACTGCTGTTTGATATTTAAGTGGTCACTGCAAATCTGTACAAGAATTGCAAGGTTTCCCTCACCAATCCTTCCCTAAACTCATAATTGTTTCCATGCTGTCACTTCCCAAAGTGTAGGCCGTTCCTATATTCCTGTGGGCATTCAGAAACGCAGCTGCAGGGACTGCTTTGGGCAAAGCAGTGGAGGGAATGATCAGCAGTCTCTGGTGGATGGGGAATGGACTGTGGTGGCGAAGAAAGCCAAACAGCTGGGAGGTGGCTTGACAGTGTCAGCCTTCTTCATTGCTTTCTGGCATTTAAACTTCCATTGAAACAAGCTGGCAGCTCCTGCTGCACGTAACAATGCTCGCCAGAACGCTGCCTGACCCCCTGCCTCATTTGTAACTTGCCGTTACATAAACAGGAAACATGAGCATAAAATTTAAGCAATGTATTTTCTCAGAGTAGCCTCTGAGGTGTTACACCAAGGGAATGCATTCTGATGCCAGGCAACAGCCTATGTTAAAAATCACACTGGAGAGTGGGTGCAGGATTATGTCTGAAATCCAGGAATGATGCAGGAAATGGTGCTAAATTGGCTAACACAGCTCACTGGGTACAGCTCAGACAGGCACGGAGTATACACTGCAATGTTCTCGCAGCCCAAAAGAGAACATCCAGTGCCAGCAAGGGCAGCCATGTAAGTGAACTCCTTCAGTCCAGGGTGAGGTACCTCTGAGAAACTCACACATTGGCATCCATAGGATGGTCTCCCTGGCAGACTCCTTGGGCTGTCAGAGCACACAGATCAATGACGTTTGTGAAAACGTGCTTCTATGAATGCAATACAAGTTTATTTTCCCTTTTTAAGTAGGAAATATGTTTTGTTTTGGAGCTTAAACATAATTACATTTAAAATCATTGCTCTACTGTTGAGAAAACTATAACCTAATTCTTGTTTTGCCAGAATTGAGAATGGAGGACTCAATCCTGTAATTGGGTCCACATGAGTGAACCCCTGCCCTTGTGGACATTTTTATTGTGCCACGTTAACTCTTAGGGGGCCAAATGCACATACATCTCATGTCCAGTAGATCACAAGCACAGGAGACCTGCAGTCAAATGTGAACATGCAGCTTGTTTCCTTGTGTTGCCATCATATCATATGTAACAGCAATAATAAGAAAAAGCAGTTTGGAAAAATAGCCTCACATTTCCCAGACATAGGAGCTGAGTCATTTTTAAACACGGCTGCAGTTCAGGACTTGTCTGCTGTTCCATTTGAACCAGTATCTGACAAACAGTCTGAGTCTTCTTATACTGAAACTGTGCAATGTTTGCAAAGAGAAATTAGGCAAGGAATTCCTACTCTTATAATGATCAAGCACAGATCAGCCTTCAAGTATCATCCTCTATTGATAACCAATACAAGCAAGAACTTCAAAAAGGCTTCCTCAAATAATGAAAAGCAACTGAGCATTCTGAACAATTTTCAAAGTGTCTACTCACAGAATGTAGCAAGTAGTTCAGTTTAAAGTCACACAGTGACTTTAAAAATGTCCCCATTTTCTGGACATTATAACCTCAAAGGTCAGCAAAGACTGACCTCAACTTCACGTTCTCAGTACTTCAGCCCAGTTATTCCAGCTCGGTGTTTTATGCTTTGCCATATGCATAATGCTTTAAGATTAGTTCTTCAACTGCCTCACTGTAATCACTGTGTTTTCAGCCCTTGGATCATTTTTGTGTTTTAACTCCCACTCCATTTTTTCTTTCCAGTCTTCCCCCATCCATCTTAGCAGCACCAACATCAAAACTGAATGCTATGGTTTAGCATTGCAAAGGTAACTGCCCTTCCCTATTTCTCACTTTAGGACATATACAGAGCTCCTATCACCCTTTTTGGCATAGTCTGCACTGATAGCTCATACTGAAGCAATTAATTGATCCTCACATCCTTTTCCAAAGTTATGCAGTTACACAGGGCAATCTTCTATCCTGGTGGCATTGCTTCCCGGCGTATTAGCATGTATTAAAGTCATTTTTGTGGACTGAAAACTTTTAGACAGGTAATTCAGATTAAAGATGGCCTCTGTTATTTACCAGCTCAGGAATCTTTTCCCTAACTGCAACTTTCACCATACAAGAATTTACTTTACAATGACTACTGACAAAAAGGAGAACTAGAATCCAAAGAACTCTAGGAATGGTCCTTGGTCCTCCACACTGACATCTCTGTCTTAATGGCTGAACTCAGAGATCTGTTGAGATAGTTTAAATCTTCCTAACGGGCGCCCTTTGAACGCCACTAAGTATCAAACTTTTAAACCCCAAATATGGAAGTGATACTAAGCAAAAAGCCATATAGAAAAGCAGCTTTACAACACAAGAATGCAAATAGAAGCGGGGCTTGGACTCTGTCATCTGTTTCTATTTAATTTGGCTGCATAATTTTTCATAACCTCAGTACAACAAGATAAGCTAAGAAAGCTGGGTTTAATTTCAGGTAGAAGTTTAAATTAATGTAAATCTTACCTAGAGTTTACATTAATTTATATAATTTACTGTACCACCATCACTTGGTGTATATATATGAGGCTTGAGTTCTGTCTTCTTATCATGTACTTCTATATAAATGCAATACTCATCAAGCTTTGGGAGGCATCAAACTCCTCCAGAGAAAAAGAAAATTGATCACTGTACGATTGAGTTTGTTCAGTATAAGCAAAACTGGGACTGGTTCTAAGAAAGAGGAAGCAGTCTTATGAAGAGCTTAAGTTCACCTCTGCAAAATGCACAGGTCTTCCTGGGCCATCCCAGAACAACACACATCCACATGATGGTACACTGTACTCAGAAGACGGACATCAGTCCTTAGAAATACCACTTACAAGGGCAAATGCTGATGCAATTTTTCACCCACTTGTTTAAAATAGCTCATATTCTGATCTCCTACTGAAAATGGTACAGATGACAGGCAATGTAGTTTCCCTTGGAAGTCAGTTTTAAGAGGTGTGATACCACAGCTACCAGACTGTTTTGCCAACCAACTGCACATCCAACAATTGTGGGACTCACAGTGATCGGGAGGTGTATAAAGACTGGGCTGATGGTGATGCTGAGCTCATTTTCTAACTATTCCACTAGAAGGATAATCCCTTTCTAATGCTATTTGGGAAGACTGGGTTGCACACCTTGAGATCACAGATGAATACAGCATTGTCAGCCACTGTTCCTCCTCTATTGCACAGACGTCAGGGCATTTTATGAGCAATACTTGCTTGCTTGCTGCAGACTATTTCATTTCCATCTGCATTCCTCCTTTCCCTTTCCTTTCCCCTTCCCTTCTCCTTCTCTTTCCCTTCCCTTTCCATCCTCCTTCCCTTCCTCCTTCTCTTTCCTTTCTCTTCCTTTTCTCCTTCCCTTTTTCTTCCCTTTCCCCTTCTGCTTCCCTTTAACCAACGACACTACAAATACGTTAAGAAACAACCTCAAAGCCTTAACCCATGCTGCTCCTCTTTTCCAAGTGCTTCCTACACAGACGTAAAATCTGCTCTAATTTCTTTCTTTTTCAGGTCTCTCGATGCTAACGAATGTTCACAAATCCTTCCATGAATCCCGAGGCACCGCGTCTGAGATGTGCCAGACGTGAGGCAGACAGCTCGTGCTGCGCACCGCTCCCTAATAGCCGCTTTCTGTACGAGCACCTTCCCGACCGAAGCACTCCGGGGCGGGCTGCCCGCTCCCGAGCGGCTCCGGCAGCGCACCCACTCTCGGTGCTGCGGGAGCCTCCCGTCCGCAGAAGCCGACGGCGCAGCCCCCGTCGGGGCGCACGTACCAGCCTGGCCAGGATGCGGTGGCCGTCCTCATCCGTGCAGCGCTCGGAGAAGACGCTCCCGTGGAGGAGAAAGAGCAGGGCGCTCAGCACCACCCAGCCGGCGGCCCAGGCGAGGAGGAACGCGAGGGTGCACCGGCGCCAGCCCGCGAGCCGCAGCCTCCTCCAGCCCGGGATGCCCCTCATCTCCGCCACCGGGCCGGGCCGCTCCAACCCCGAGCGCGCCCTCTCCCCGCTCCGTGCCGGCGTCCATCGCCCGGAGCCCCCCGCCCCACCCCGCCGCCTCCCCGCGGCCGCCGCCCCCGCCCCGGGCCGGTGCCGTCCCCGCGGAGCCCGGAGCTCTCCTTTTGAATTGAAGCCACGTAGTTCCGCCTTCTTTTGTCTGCTCTCCCTGTGCCAAGTGGCCCCTGCCACCGCGGATGGAGCTGCTCGGCGGCTTCCCCCCCCCTCCGCCTCCCCCTTCCCCTCCAAGTTTCGCACCCGGGAATAAAAGGGGTTTTGAAAGCGGGCGGGGGCTGCTGTGGGAACTTCTCATCCCGGCGGCTGCCTGACACTCTGAAAAGGGCAGTCCGGAGATGGACGGCTCTTGGAGAGTGCTCCCGTTAAATAAGAGGAGAAAAAAAAAAAAAGAAAAGAATGGGAAAAAAAAAAAAAAAGTTGTTTATTCTGCAGTAACTTCGTCCAGTTTTATTCTGCCAGCGATGGTTGCCCGTTTACTAACGCTACCCCTATGATGGGCTGCCCCTTGGGCTGCTCACAGCAGCTCCTGCTGCTCTGCTGCCCCATCCCGTGCCGCCGAGGAGCTCTGCACTGCTGCTGCCTCACGGCTCCATGGCAGCCGGAGGAAGTAGGAGGCAGATCGGTGCAGTCGTATAATCACAGCATGGCTTCGGCTGGAAGGGACCCCAAAGCCCATCCAGCTTCACCCCCTGCCACGACCAGGGCTGTCCCCCACCAGCTCAGCTGCCCAGGGCCCCATCCAACCTGGCCTTAAGCGCCTCCAGGGATGGGGCACCACAGCTTCTCTGGGCGGCTGTGCCAGTGCCTCACTGCCCTCTGAGCAAAGAAATGAGGGTGTCTGAGTCAGGTTTGCTGTCAGATATAGTGAAGAAATGACCAGATTCATTTTCTTTCCTTTGTATGGACAGTTATGTCAGGCTACTTGCAACCCCATAGCAGGAAGATGAATTGTAGTTACACTTGGAGAGTAAATTATTTCCCCAAGTGAATAAGAATAGCAATCTGCCTCATGGATTGAAAACTAGAAAATAATGCAGTAGACGAATTTTAATGTGTGCCTTGTGTAAGTTGCCCTGGGACATGTTTTATTAGTCTGTTAATTTAAGGTGGTAAGGTGAAGGCTGGAGCTCCTCTCCTGAGAAGACCGGCTGAGAGAGCTGGGCTTGTTCAGCCTGGGGAACAGAAGGCTGTGGGGACACCTCATGGCAGACTTCTTGTACTTAAAGGGAGATGATAAATTAGAGGAAAAACAACGTTTTACATGGTCTGCTAGCACTAGGACAAGGGGAATGGTTTTAAACTAAAAGAGGGGAGATTTTGATATTAGGTGTGAGGTGGAAATTTTTCACTCGGAGGGCGGTGAGGCCTTGTCACATCTTCCATTGTGTTTCCTCTCTCCTACCACCTCACTCCTCCACGTCTATGCCCACCCTTCTCACATTTTCTATTGCACTCTGATCCTACTCAGAGAATGGCACCTTTTGAGGCAACAGGCATACAGTGTACTTCCAGAGGATGTAGCAAGCAGGGAAGTCTGACTACTACCTGAAAACTAAATCCTATTTCTCAGTCTGATTCAAAACACTTTCTGAAGCTCTCCTACAAATTTCGGGGGTTCATCTTGAAATTTTTTTGGGCAGCAAGTGGGGAAAGGCAGGAGGGTTCTTTTGATGTCCCCCCATAGAGAGGACCAGCTGGGCACAAGCTGAGCCAACCAGCACTGGCTGCTGCTGCTGCCACCAAACAGCTGCAGATCTGCTGCAACAGCATCTGGAGCAGTGCTGAGACGGAGCTGTGTCCTACCTGGAAAAGGGTCACACATGGCAGGGGAACTTTTCTGTACAGCTTGGCACAGAGCTTTTTGTTTAATAGCATAAGCACCAAAACTATATTTGTTTTCCCATTTCATTTTTTAAAACATGGATCTTGGCTTCTCTCCGTGTCAGTACTCCCCCAGAGGACATAATCTATTACCATTTCACATCCATAAAGTTCTGTATATGTATCATTTGCATTGTTCTGAAAATAAATTCTAGTTACTTTTGGCTTTGAGCTAAGATCAAGCTATGGGACCTCAGCTCTGGTCAGGTGGCATAGCTGAGTGCTCTAATTGCTGCTGACAGAGCCAAGCACGTGCCCTTCTCTTCCTTCCCTCTGTGCTTTCCTCTTGTTCATGGCTGCATAGTCCTGTCCCCTAGCAAAAGATGTGTTTTGCTGCCCACTGAATTCACTTACCTCATTAAGAGAGAAACCCACAAAGCTGTTCTTTGCTAGGATTATTTTCAGGCAGGTAGGAAAGTCGGAGTGGCTGGGGATGCAGCCAGGCACGCAGGGGGAGCTCTGCAGGGAGGAGAGCAGCAGGCCGGGCCCTGCAGAAGGGCACGAGACAGATCTGTTCTGCCAGCTTGGCTGTGTCACATCTGCATGTCAAGAATGCAACGTGATGTTGCAGATAAGGGGCTCTACATGGAAATAATTGCTGAAGGGACAGTCCTTCCCCTACTTTCACCCCGGACACATGCTTCTGCTGCTTCCTTGCATTGGCTCTGGTAACTTCTTAGCAGCAGGGTGACCTGGCTCAGCTGCTTGATCTGGAAGAAAACAAACTCTGCAAAAATGAACTTTCAGCCAGCCAAAGCGATTCACCCTGTGGCCACACATCACTAGACTGCATTTACTCACAGTGTGAGGGCTGCTCCTGGTGGCAGGTGCATCAGCTTGGTTAGAACTTCAGGCAGTACCTGTAGGTTTTTGAGGCACTCTGCATTTCCTCTCCAGGCAGCAGCTAAAGTGCACTGGGTTTTGGAGCAAAGAGCCTACAACTCTCTCTTCAAAATGGAAACAACTGCTGTATGTAACAAGTGAAATGGTTTCACCCACAGGTCTCTGCTACTTTGAAATGATGGAACTTCTCATAATAAAAAGAAGCAGACTAAGAAAGAATAGTTAAAAAGCCCTGGGTGGAAGAAACTCGATGCAGTAAATGCAAGTTACTTGGCACACTAGACTATCAACCAGTTTAATTTTATGGTAAATCCCACATGAGGCATTTGCAGCAAATGACACCCTATCTCCACAACAGATTTTGATACAGCCTTCAGAGAGTGGAAAGGGTTTGTATCTCAGTCCCTGAAGTTTCCGATATCCTGCAGATTGCAGCAGGAGTGAACAATGAAGTAACTGTAGGTGTGTGAGTACACATGCACATATCTACACACAGACACACCCATATATGCATCTCTTCAGATCATAACAAGAATTGATCCAGAAAACTTGGATGCAAAGATCACAGCCTCGGTGTTTGAGGATCAGGAGCCTTTCTTTCCTAGCAATCAGGTGCCATCTACAGAATGGAAAGCTGGCTTTTAGATTTCCCTGAACTTTAAGGATCTTCTGGCTAACAGGGTTAGCTCCAGTCCAGCCGCTGAAAAATATGAATCTAAGTGTCCCTGTGTCCCATTGCAATTTTCCCTAGGAAAATAAAGCAAAATGAAACAGGAAGACCCCTACATCAGGGGAATTTTGTTTTCTATATACATTCAGATACGGCTATTTGACATTTCATTCCTGAAAGGAGCTACATTCCTCTTCTCATTTAAACTGAAACCTAAGCTTGATGGAAATTAATTAGTGGAAGTTCAATTAGCAATATAAGGGCAGTAAAAATAATCCTGGCATAATTACACCAATTTCTATCCAATTAAATTACCCCCCAAAAGTTTGAATTACAGCTTGGAACAGAAATACAGCATCACGTTGGTCTCATCAGAAAATTGCACATCCCCAGTGACAGCTCGGGGCTGGAACAGCTGCAGGGTGCAGCGCCCAGCAGCAAGATGCCCTGGCATGGCTGTGTGAAGGAGCCTGGCATGGTGTCCAGCCGTGGTGCATGGCCAAGCTGGGACCATGAGGAGTCCCCATCATGGGGATTTGCTGAGCCCACATTTTTCTCATCAGCTTCAGATAGAAGCTGTGTTGCCCAGGCTACATTAGGCTGTTAGTCCTTACTTTCCAAACTACTTAATTAATTTGGAGAGATTAAAAGAAAAAATAAATCGATCATTAAGAAGTACCTTGGCACTCAAGTTAATGAAATGTAAAACTGGTTTATTAGGAATTATAGTTCTGTTTGATTGATTATATCACCTCCTGTCAATGGCTCTAGTTTGTCTCTGGAAATAGGGTACATTTTGGTTAGTCCAGGGCACACATATCTCTCCCACTTTCCTCCCACAAGATCAGAAAACTTTCAAGTGCTGTTCAAATGCACCTTAAAATAAATTTTAATGCATGAATATTTCTTTCTGATTTGCTGTGGTGAGATTGAGTAACAGAAAAACATCATAAGATCTGACATACATTTGAACATGTCCTTTAAGCAGTGAAATTCCCCTGCAGAGTACTGACTCCAGAAAAGGAATCCAAATGTATTTTCTCATTTATGCCATTAATCAAAAAGAATATGTTGCAAACCGCTTGCAGAAATTCTACTGCATCAGTATGCACTGAGTTTATTGGGTCACACTGCAGACCAGGAGCAGAAAAAGGGCAGAATATAAAGTACAGAGTATATAGCATTGTGGACAAGGGAAATACATGGATTGATGCACTGATATAAAGAAGAGAAAGTGTTGAGACAGAAAAAGCTTTTCTATCATGCATATTATAGGGAATTTCTAATACATTTTTTTCCTGTTTTCACTTTCTCCACATATTTCTTAGACATAGCCACCCATAAAGGCCAAATACATTTGTTTTCTTCTTCCTTCTTACCGCTTAGACTCTGCACTGCAATTTTTAATTGTCTTGCTCTTCTCATATGTCCGCTTCCACTTAATCTCTTCGTTAACTTCATGCCAACTTTTCTCCAGTTTCACTGAAAAAGCCAGTGAGATATTTTGTCAGTGACTGCAACAGGCTGTGGCAGTTCTTCAGATCAGATGAGA